TCCACTTGTTCCCCTCTTGTCTAAAGAGGAAGCTCAAAACTCAAATCAACATTCGAAAGGGAAAACGATAGTATTGTACAAAATATTATGCAGGAGATTCTTTGATTTTTGTAACGCAGTTGTATAATGAAATTGAAGAAGTATATATTTTTTTCCAATTATTACTCCCCTTGTGCATTATGAATTTTCATCAATTTTTGTAATTTTGATTATATTAACCATTGCCTAATGAACATTATCATTAAAGGTAATGTTATGGTCTGGGTCGTGTGGGACTCATGGGTCTGCAATGAGGTCATGCTCAAATGTGTTTTCTAGTTTTTATTCAAAAGAGAATTTTTTTATTTTGTAATTCAAATACTAAACTTTAAAATAAAAATTATTAATAAACTTTAAACTCCGCACTTGACCTTTCAAGTCAATTGGCACTTTGGTCAATTGGCACTCTGCCAGCTTGAAGTGCATTCTCCCTCCCCGAAACCTGTCCCTTGACAATTTGTTCAAAAAAATAAATAAATAAACTCTAAACTCCATATTTAGTGATCGATATTAAATTACATAATATTTTTTTTGAAAAAATAAAAAATTTACACCATAATTGCGTTTGTAAGTGCATCCACATTTGTGATAAGGGTCATGGTTTGAGTCGTTTGACTCTCAAGCGTCACATGATCCCTATGCTTTGTGAAAAAAAAAATAACTCCCAAATTCTCCAATCTTCAAAAAAAATCCTATAAAAAAATTTCATGGGAGGGAATTTTGTATTTAAATTTGGAACTTGTCTCTTTTATTGTTGCTTATCTAAACAAGAATTGTTGAGCCATGGCAACAAAAGAATATAATACTGTATTTTGAATTTGTGTTGATCACCAAACCAACCGAAAGATCCATAATGCACTTGCTTTGCTTTGAGTTGAAGCAAAAACCATTTTGGTAGGCCCAAGGGAACATCAAAACCGCCGCCAATGCACTTAACAACCCAAGGCCGCCCGCAGAGCGCCACAAATACAGGTACACATACCCTGGCAAGCATCTTCACGCAATTTCCCAAATACTCTGAACAGAGCGCACTACCGCGCCGCCCACCCATTATTTCAAACAATTTTGCCTCATGACTTCCACGACGCACCCGCTCCTCACCTCTCAACCCCCCTCTTTTTCAAACAACGTTCAGTGTAGACACCGACCATTTGTTGTAGCATTGTTGCTCCAGTGTTTTATATTGAAAAATTTTCAATTCTTATTATTATAAGATAAAAGTGAAAATCGAGAAATCTAAACATTTTAAATATCAAGATTTGCAGCATAATTGTTTAAAATTTTCAAATAACTTTGAATGAATTTTTTTTCTTTTATTTCAATTCATTTATAATTTGTTTAGTTTAAAGGGAGGGGATAAAATAATAAGATATTTTCTATCTTTTTTTTTTTTCTCTTAAACTAAATATATAGTAAAGGGATTTTAATTTTTTGCAACTTAACAAATTATATAAAAGCATCACTAAAAATCATGTATAAAAAGTTAAAATGACAATTAAGATGAACTAAATATAATAGGTCAAGTCTCTAAATGTACCCCTTAAATAAGAGAATTGGGACAAATTCATCCCTCAAAA